TTTCCTTACAATTATTATCGTGTTTGAGATGTACCCAGTGTCCTCAATTCTTCCTCCATTTTTTCCCTCCATTGGAAATTAGTTCCCTGGAAACAATTCATCTATTGCGTGCAAACTTTAATCTCTTCGTCTTAGAACAGAAATGGAGGGATATATGCTTTGGGGTTGATAGATTGACGAGTAAATAGTAAATACTGTAATAGTACCACAACCCCAGAATGACAGTGCGGAGTGTTTAGTCTGTGCGGAGTGTTGCATAGTCTAGCTTTAAAGGAATGTGTATTTTTTGATCATTCTATCCCATTGCATTATCAGACTTGCGTTTTATAGTAAAAGCTATTTTCGGACATCAGCGATAAGTACAATTACTGTTTTAATCCCCAAATTTCGGTTAAAATACAAAGGAAAACCAAGAGCTTATGCCGACAAAAACATTGCATTGTGATCCGGTGGAAACCAGTAATCAAATCACTTCACCATTTCCCCAAGACGATGATAGATAAAGCATTGATATTAATCCAAAACCTCTTTGCTCACCTCTTTTTTGCTCATTGACCAAAAATGTTAGACGAACGGCTTAGACGTTTTGGCTTAGACGACGATGAATATTTGCATATTTTATCTTCTATTTTATCTTTCATGGTGATCTTTTTCTTCAATCTTTATCGGTTCAAATTCTCTCGCGCTTGATCTCTTTTATACGTTTTATTGCCTTCACAATTCATCGCACAGGATCGGGGCAAACAATCGATCGAATCCCATTCATCGGACACCCCGACGACAGCAACCGCTCCAGCCACCGCCACCCATTCATCTGCCAATGCACAGCCCGCAACATGTTCGTTTTTGAAAACATTAATCTCTAATAATATTGAACTCTCGCCTTTTATGGTGATCTTTTTCTTCAATCTTTCGCGGTTCAAATTCTCTCGCTCTTGATATCTTTTATACGTTTTATAGCAATAAAGATCTTCTATTTGAAGCAAACTATTAATCAATGCATAAGCTTAAAAAACAGATTTACGACAAAGTGTCCAAAGAATTTTCGGCTAACTTTTTAGACTAACAAAAAGTCCCCAATTAATAGCAAACATTAGAACCGGACCGTTGCTAGGCAGCCAGGTAAATTGCGGACTTCATCCTTATGCAACGTTATGAAAAAAGTTATGCAACGGTCTCAGGACTTTAAACACCTAGCAACGAAATAACCTAGTGCTACAATAACGAAAAAGATTAAAAAATCCAAAAAGCTAAGTTATTACTCCAAACAAATTTTATTATTGGTTGCTTCTTTCTTCAGATTTTGAAATTTCCGTGTCTTTTCAGCCACTTTATTTATGATCATTATTTTCCTTGTTTTCTTACGATTTGCTTTAATTTTAGTTCCATGTCAAGCGTCAAAGAGGAGTCAAAGCCGGTTGTCAGCAAAGCCGGCAAGAAGAGAGTACATCGGCGACAACGAGCGAAAGAACAAAGAACGGCGGACAGCGATAGAAGCAACGATGAAGATGAGGTATTCGCTTACGCTTTTCCATCTCCGGTTCCTAATTTTGGTAAAATTATCACAGTTGATTATGTGCCGGCAACTGATTATTTGTTTTCTTTTAGTCTGCGCGAGAGACTGCTGCCGGAAAGAAGCGACGTCAAAATCCAATGTTACAAACGGTTAGTCTACGTTTTAAAAATTTATCTTTTAAATTTTGCATTCAAAACTTGGGAACTAAGGCGGTTGGGGACGGGCAGCCAAAAATGTTTCAATGTGCGTTTTCTAGGGTGATTGATAACATCGACTACCAGAAAACATTTTTAAGTTAGCCTTTTTATTGTTAGCCCAGGATTTGGCTCCGCACCGCCACCGTGTCAAAGTTGCGTATGGGCCTGACTGCAGCACCCAGAGCCACAGCCGCTAGATTAGTTTAGTATTATAAAGTTTATATTCTATAGTTTTTTATGTAGGCATGAAGTCGGATAGACCAACATCGATAGGCTCCACATGAGACCAACATCGATAGGCTCCACAATCACAAAACCCGATTACCTTTAGGCTTCTAACATTTCATGACAGAACCATCATAAAATTCAGTCTAAACTGAAAGCATAACTTTAAAGTTGCCTTAATAAAAAGAATTGTTTAGACAAAGCGGGAAAAGAGCAAGACTGCTCGTTCACTTAAGCGTGCTCGTGCTCGTGCACTTAAGCGGGTCCGGGACGGGGTAAGTGGGACGAGCCCTCCATGGGGCTTAGCCTGAGCCATCCTTCGCGAACTTGCAGTACAGTACTGGAAAGGAATCGAATTATTCATTACTTATCAGTTTTTCACCACCTTTAATAAGTACACAAATAATTTTATCTATTAGATTTCAAAGAAAATTCGATGGTTATAGCTATTTTTGAGTGGTCACCAATTTCCAACAAAAATTTAGCTTAAATTTGCTCGATTGAGGAATGTCGCCCGCCGAGTGATAAAGAAGCTCCTCAATAAGCAAAAAGAGTCAGTTTAAAGTTCAATGTTGAAATTAGTTTATGCTTTAGCTTCCCCCGGTTTTTCCTCCAGCTAAAGATGCAAAATGGCGATGGCTACTGCTTAAAAGGGAATTCAACAAAACTGGAACACAATTATTGATGGAAAGGCAGCCAAAATTTTCATCGAAAACTGGTCAGGCGATTGGAAAGCGATGCCTCGCCTTAAGGTGAAGATTTTCTTTTTTGAGCTTGAACCTTGGATGGCTTTGATAATTTTTTGTTTAGTATATCACCAAAAATCGCCACTCTGAGGATGCTGTGAAAACTTTAAAGAATATTCGTCCGAACGATCTTGGCTGCAACAAAGCTTGCGAATGCAAGGGTGCAATTAATTGCTGTGCCTCGGTATCATGAAAACTATTTTTCTTACTTTTCCTTTAGCATCATGTTGCACAAAGTTACAAAAGTGGAACAAAACCAAAGGCCATCCGGAAACTCAACTCGGCAAACTCTAGTTGTGACGTAGTAGTTGAGTGTGGAGAGCATTGCAAATGTGATCCCATAACTTGTCGTCAACGAGTGCTGCAGGTTGTTGTTTATGTAAATTAGCAATCAAAAAAATTCAGGAAGGAGACAGATACCGTTGGTGCTATTTTGGGAAGGAAGGAAAGGCTGGGGTCTTCGCACAATTTTCAAAATTCCAAAGAATGTTTTTGTCGGTAGAATACGTCGGAGAGGTTTGAAAAGTTTC